CTTTCCGTTCCCTCACCTTCCTTCCCAGCGGAGAAATTGAGCTTTAATGGAAAACCAGTGTCGAAGTGTCGAAGTGTGTGGGATCAAAACATAAAACAACCATCAACAACATCAACTGCAAGTTGAGCCATGAGCCTCAGGCACACACCCTGCCGGTTGTTTTCATCGTTGTCCATCTCTGTGAGACGTCTGAGACTGGTCCGTGACGGCCGTCTGTGGGACGGGATGGGACGGATCGTCCCGGGTGCCCAACGTCCCAGGTGCCAGAGAACTCGAAGGGTTCTTTCATGCTGGTGGGGCGAGTGGAGCTGGATGCCTTGAATGATGACACGAGGAGGTGATGACCACGCTGGGAGCAGAGAGAGAGCGGGCCAGGGCGTAGAGCTGGATGCAGAAATCTGGGAGATGCGGGAGTGCAAAGGGGTTACAGTATAGACAGTATACTGTAGATTTAACCGTAAAAAAGAACTGAACAGCTGGCTAGGGGTCCTGCTTTTTTGTTCGTGTGAAAGCAGCAGAACCAGAACTTCACCAACGGGTGATTGCATTGGTGGGAGTTTGTTGGTGTAAACCTGGAGCGTGAGGATACACTCGAATGGGTTTGAATGGCAGAGATGCATGCACTCCATCCTTTGGAGATGCTTTGCTCCTTCTGAAACTCATGCACCAGACAAAAGTGCCAGTGTGTCACCAAGCCAGGAGGCTCCCAAAACCCGACTGTGGCTTGGCCTGGCTTCTTCGGAAAAAAACCACCCGTCGTCGTTCGTCTTAGAAGTCGGTAACTGTCGATGAAGTCCGGCCAATTGCTCCATCGCTTCCAATGGATGTTGACCGCAGGCAGTTTTTCCATCTGTTCATCTTCTGTAGGGAAAAACCAGTTGGTGCCCCAACTGTCCATGACCCACAGCCATGGTTTTAGCCCTCCTTGGAGGCGCTCCGCAGGAGCCGACAGTCAGATGTGTGTGTACATGGGACCCAGACCAGGCAGACGACCCAGACCTGGCCTACTGGGTTTTGGATGGGCTTTGGTTTGTTTCCCTTCTTCCAGGCGTGGGCGAAATGCCAAGAGGAGGTCTCCCTCTGTTTGACACACACCCATATATTGCTTGATCATGCTTTTTCTCGGTCCGACTTGTGCAAAGCATTGGTCCAAACTTGGAAGAGACCGGCTTCTCCAGATGGTCTGCATGTCATTTTTTAAGCTTCCGCCCCCCCAGCTTAGGCCTCTCCGCTGTGATCTATGAAGTATAAAGGATGTCCTCCTTTTTTCCATCCTTCCAACCAAGGAGCTTTTCGTTCATTTTTTGGGGGATCCTAGGAGTGCTTTTTCCTCCCAGCCATGCGTGGCCTCGGCAGGATCGCCAGCTATGCGTTACCGCCCTCCGCGGCCGTCATCAAGCTTCGCCCGGGCCGCAGTCCGTGTCGCTGTGAGTCACCAGTTGGGCGAACGGGTGCGTGGAGGTGTTCCCCGGGGATGAGGAGGTCTGGTTCCATTCGATGGGAGGTCTGGTTTCTGCAGCCCTGTTTACATGCAGTCCAAATGTGAGACTCTGAATCTGGCAAGGGTACCCCTCCATTTATGTGGAACATCCTCTTCAAAAAGGGGGGGTGTATGGTCCTCAAGAGTCTCCGGACTCCTCAGCGGCGGATGGCCAACGCCGCGTAGACTCGGAGGACGAAATCAGACCCGACCCGTGAGCGTTCCATTCTGTAGCCGGTGAAGTGGATGGACCATGCATGAAAAGACACACACACACACAATCACTCACATATACCCTAGGGATCCAAGTACAGTAGCTCCTCAAAAGGTACGACTGGATCCTCCCTCCTGGCATCCACCCCAGTCCCACCTTCTAAAACGACTGGATCCTTAGGGATATCAGCAACGTGCATATGATAATCGTCATATGAGATCATCACATTGGACAGGTGGTGTCTTGCTTCGGGCTTGCAAGCGGGCGCGAAATGGCGCGCGCAGAAAAGGGGCTTCCGAATTGGAATTCCTGATGCTTTTCATGGATGCTTCAGTCACTCTCTTTTTCGGATTACCACTGAACCGCTCAGAACTCCTGACTCATTGGAGCCGCCGACTCCTGGAGCCGCCGACTCACCGTCACACCCCGAACCACCCGACCGCCCCCCCCCCGGGGCGACGAAGATATCGACACCTTCACCGTCCCCGAGGCGTGTGCGAGCACCGCGCGGCGGTGAAGGCGTCAGGTGGCGCCGGGAGAACGGACGTGGGTCGCCGAGAACCGAAAGCTCCCATTGGTTGGGGGTGGAATAGGCCTAGGGATCCAAGTACCCTCCGTTTCGAAGATGATTGGGGGTGGGTGCCAGGGGGGCGGCCGAACCAGCGAACCTGAGGAGATGCCTCCTGGCACGGAGGGCGCCCGAGTAGACTCTCTGGGTGGTCAACCTACCAAGGGGTCCACCAGGCTCCAGGTGTTGACCACACCATGGACTGGTATACATGCTTAATCAATCCCTCAAACCCATCCCCAATGTATATAGGCACATAGACCATACATGGAGGGTTTGGATTGGGGAGGGACTGAGACCCCCCGAAAGACCTCTGTGAAAATCGATGAACATCGATTGGACAGACGAAATCCATTGGACATCCATTGGTTGGGAGGTGCAGGTACCAGGTACCCCTATTGAAATACACCTTCTTGATGTGCTGACCAGCTGAAGCACTCAGTCCAAGAGTATCAATATATATATATATATGACCTTCATGCTTTTCCGTCTGCAGCTCATTCGACGGCTCAATACGCATGAGCCTTGTGCCTGCCCACGCTGCCCAGACTTCGGTTCTCGCGGCAGCCGTCGCATCTTTGCTTCACGATCCGGCCTCTCCTTTGCCCTGCTTCTGCGAGGATCCTATCTTGCATTTTCCTTCGCTATTGGCTGGTGTGATTTTGGGCTTGGTGCTGGGTCAACTTTTCGAGTGGATTCTGTTGCTCAGGGTATCCTGGTCTGTGTCGCTTCGGCAGCAGGCCTTTTGGCTGAGGAACGAGCAGCTGGCGAGAGCAAGGCTTGCATGAGCCTTTCACCTTCTGAGGACCTTAGTGCCTTGCGGAAGGATCTCGAAGCTCTACAAGATCGTGTCTCGGTTTTGGAAGCCCAGGCTCGTTCAAGCCGTGATAGCACTCCCTCGACCGTCGTTCCAGTGACGGTCAACTATACCCAATCTGGTCCGGCCGATTCCGCTCCCTCGGTGAGTGTCTTGGGTCCGACTCAGTTGCCTGAGGCACCCACTCCAGGTCTGACGCCTGGTGGCCGCATTACTGCAAGCCAGTACACTGAGGAGTACCGCCGTTCGATCGCTCAGGACATCGGGGACTACTTTCGCCGGTGCCTGTCTGGCACCAACCGAGGACCATCCGGGCGCCAGCAGATCTCTTTGCCTTCCAAGGTTTACATCCTGGTGCGCGACCTCTCCGGTCGCTTGTACGACCCCGTTCAGGTCCATCATTCGTTTGGTTCCATCCGTGCCTTGGTCCGTGACGGGGATTATTTGGGGGACTCGATCTTCGTTGGCTTCCCCACTCAGTGGGAGGCCCGGGTCGCGGTCGAGCGAGCAGGGCTGCACTGGCCTGCTTAGAGGATGTCAGAAGCAGAAGATGGCGAGGAGCTGGATGGCTTGCCCCTGTCTCCGGCCGATGTGCTGAGGCAGTGTGCTGTGCTGTCGAGTGAGTCCGGGCAGCTTGAACCGGAGTATCCTTTGGGGTTCTGCGAAGTCACAACCTCCACTGGTGAATCTGAGCGAGTTGCTGTAATTTGTATGGGAGAGATGGGAGGTGCTTTTTTGGTGGTCACGCCGCACTCAGCGGGGCACCGACAGGTCGCCAAGCGTCAGCTCCCTAGCACGTTTTTGTCTAAGCCCACAAGTGCAGAAGTTCTTTTTGCTCCATCCCGAGACCCTGGAGCTCATACGGTGAATTCAAAAGTATGGTTTGGATGGCTCTCCAAGGACTATGAGAGCCATATTTCCTTTGACACAGCCAGTGGACCTGCACTGACCGTTTTGTTTGATGAAGATGAATTGATGCTACCCTTGGCCTCGAGCCTAGCTCTAGCTGCCGAGCGCTTGTTTGGATTGCGAGCTGCGCCTAGCTCCTTTGAGAGCGTGCCTGCCGAAGACACTCAGGTGCTCGGCCAACGGGTGGCTGCTCTAGAAAATCACCTCTCAGGCATCAAAGAACAGCTCGAGATTTTGATTGGGCAAAACACTCATCCGAGGACCAGTGGGTCTCCTGCCACTCAGAAAGCCGAAGGTGCAAGGCCAAAGAGCAGTGCTGCACCGCCTCGAGCTTCACAGTTTCTTGGCTTGGATCCCACCGTGGCTCAGGCAGCCTTGGCGGCTGGCATTCCGGCCACTCAGTTGGAGGAGATGTCCAAACTGGCTCTAGCTGGCAAACCGCGTCTCCCTGATCTTCCCAAAGCCCCGATGCCGAAGAGGAAGGATCCGTTGGACGAGAGCGAAGATGATGCCGTCGGTGAGTCCGCTGTGGAAGTCACGTGCGGGGGAATCTGGGGAGGTGGATCCTATGGTGGCTGCTATTACCCAGCTGACCGCTATCACAAAACACCTGGCCGGTCAGCGGAGAAAGGAGACATCACTCGAAGCTTTGCTCGACGGCTCTGGCTATCCCGGCTCGTCCGAGTCTGCTGGAGTTCCATCGGCTCGCAAGAACGCAGCGGCCCTCAGGGCATTGAAGAAGACGCTGAGTTCAGACCTCGAGCAAATCTCCCGAGTGATCGAGCGCAACATGGAGGCAGATTTCAACCTACGCCGATCGGGCGTGCCAGGAGCTCCAGTGGTCCCTGTCAGCGCCCGTGCTTGGCTGGAGGCCCGGTCGAGAGTCCAGAATTTCCGCACCCCCGTTACCTTCCTTTGGGGGGTAGCAGGGATCTTGGATGCCCTGCGAGATCAGAAACCAGAAGAAGCACGGGCGCGCGCCGGCCTTCTTCTTTGCCAGGGCGACCAGCTTTCGATCGACCGGGGCAGTTGGATTGTTGCAGCTTCCATGTCGCTCGAGGATCCACCTCCGTTTGCAGTGTTTGCCACCCATACGTTGCCGGCCGAGACAGAGAGTCAGGTGACAAAGTTGATCGATTCTCGCTGGGTAGATCTTTTTCTGCACCACCTCAGCGAGATCGACCAGTTGGCGGAGAAGAAGAAAAAGCTGACTTTCAAGAAGACGCCTCTCGATCCACCTCCCGACGGCACTGCTTCGCCCAAGCGGAAAGGCAAAGGAAAAGGGTCTGGATCAGCCGGCTCTGGCAAAGATGCCGGCAGGGAGAAGGAAAAGGAGGCGGCCCAGTAACCCCCGGCGTGGTGGCTGCAGCTGATCCCTGCCCTCTCAGTCCGGTTGCGAGTGAGCCTGTGCCCGGTTCTTCTATGTCAGAGCAGGGTGCCCTCCTGGGCGCCACTGCTTTATTGGGTCCGGGACGCTTGCTGCCCGACTTGAGGTCGCAGGACCTTGCTGCTGATGCCTACCCGCCGCGAGGTGAAGTGCGCGCCGGCGCTTTGTTGCGCCAAACCCATTCGTCAGTCAAAGGTCCACCGAGTGAGATCGCAGAGGAAGCCAAGCCCACCGTTCCAGCTGAGGCCGAAAAGAAGCCTGAGCACCGGGCACCTGGAGCTTCCGCGAGTACAGTGAATGCAAGAGGTTTGTGGAATTCATTGCTCCGTTGGGTGCTGAGGTCTCCATGTGGCACCCTACGTACTTTTTTGCACACCGCTCTCCATAGTCCAGCTCCTGAAGGAGACCTTCATGACCCTAGGCCGGAGTGGCCTATTCCGCTGCCTTACCCTGCTCTGCTAGCTGGAGCTCGTGAGGCGACGGAGGATGATGCTTGGCGAAGGTGCGCCAACATGATGGTTCTTATTTTGAACTGGATTCATATGGGACAACCGGCGATCTGGCCTCGGAAGTTCAGTATTTTTTCCTCTTTGACTCCGTCTCAACTGGTTCTGGTGACACGTTTGAAGCATCTAGCTGGTGAATGGCTGAAGTTCAAAGACATTACAGCAGAGTCCATGGGGCGCACTGCAGGCAAGGTTGAGAGTCTAGAAGCACTGGTCCACCGCTTGGAGACATCTGCGGTTGCTTTCGTTCCAAAGTCAGGGTCTGGTAATGGACCCGTGCATCGAGCGGCAGCGGGCGAGGATACTGCGGTCCAAGTGGAAGACATCCAAGCCGCGAAGGCCGTCGAAGCTGGACGCTTGAGTTTCAAGGGGCGCCCGGCTTTCGACCCTACGCCCTACCTAGAAGAACCGGCCAGATCTCTCTACCAAGATCCTTTGAAGTTTGCCGTGCCTCCCTCCGAGTGCTTTGAGGAGATTCCGACCGTGAAGGTCAGAGGAGATCGAAAAGAGATCCTGGGACTTCTCTCCTCCCTTGACAGCACCGGCAGGCTTGCTTTGTTCTCTCCGGATGAGCTCCGGATGGACTTCCGAGCAGGAGTATTTGCATTGATGAAAAACCTCACCGCAGATCGTTTGATTTTGGATTGCCGTCCCGCCAATGCCCTTGAACCTGGATTGAATCAGTGGACTCAGACCATGGGGTCTCTTACCCCCATCCTTGGTATGCACATTCCCCCCGACCACAAGGTTGTAGCTGCAGGAGAAGATCTAAAAGACTACTACTACTATATCATTTCGGAGAGTCGAGCTAAGCGCAACTCACTCGCCTTCCAGCTCTCCCGTGCAGAGGCCAAGCGCTTTCGAGGCGCGTATCGCTGGGCAGATCGACAGGCTCGTATTTTGATCCCTGCGCTGAAAACTATGGCTATGGGAGACCTTAATGCCGTAGAGTTCGGCCAGCAAGCACACGTCAAGCTTGGATTGTTGCATGGGTTGGTGGGTATGCGAGATTTACTCACGCTGCGGGGGAGGTTCCCTCGCCAGAGCTGGGCAGTGGGCTATGTGATAGATGACTTCATCGTCCTGGAAGCTGTCCCAAAAAGTTCTGTTCCTGCCCCTTTATTTTCTTCAAGATTGGCCGACGCTATGGTTGACGTATACTCGCATGTCGGTCTGGTCGCGAACGATTCGAAGAGGTTCCGGGCGGAAGAGCACCCTCAATTTTGGGGCATTAGCATCGACGGAAATTCAGGACTGGTCAGAGCCCTTTTGGATCGCACAATCCCTCTGAGCTTTGTCACTGCAAGAGTCGCTCGTACAGGCGCAGCGTCCCGCCACTTGCTCGAGATCATTGCCGGTTCCTGGACAGCCATTATTGCTGCTCGGAAGCGCTGCATGTGCCTTTTACAGCAGATTTTTGTAGAGATTCAAGCTCATGAGTATGGTGTTGTCTTTCGGATCTCACCCCAATTGGTTGCAGAGCTTTGGACATTAGTCGTATTGGCGCCTCTCATGTGTTCCGATTTGACCGCCCCCACGTCGACGACTTTGTACGCAGTCGATGCATCAGATCACCGCATCGCTGGGGTTGTCACTGAACTTACCGCTCCTTTTGCCAAAGAGCTGTCGCGACATACGATGACTCGAGCAGCTTGGTCACGTCTTCTGTCACCCTGGAAGAGCCACCAACGCCGCCTAGGCCGCCTGGACCCAGCAGACGAAGTGCCGGAGGGTGAAGCTCCTGCTCAGGCTCATTTGCTGTGGGTGCAGTTAATGCGATCGTGTCAGTTTTACCCAATGTTCTGCGATCGAGCCGCTAGGTCTGAGCACATCAATGTTAGTGAAATGAGGGGTTTATTGAAGGCCGAAGCACACCATTCTTCCGAGCAACCCAGCACCCGTTGCAATATCGGAACTGACTCGCAGGTTTGTTTAGGGGCCGTTGTCAAAGGCAGAGCATCCTCGGTGGTGCTGAACAAGATGCTCCGGAGACACCTTCCAGTTTTGCTTTGTGGGAATTTGTACCCTGGGCACCAATATTTACCATCGAGTGACAACCCCGCTGATGACCCTACTCGAGATAAGGAGCTCCGTGAACCTGTTGAAACCGCTCCGAAATGGCTGGTTGAAGCTTTTGAAGGTGACTTTCGATCGCTAGATGATATGCTCAAAGCCAGCTCAGCTGATGAAGCCACTCTTGCTCGCCTCCCCGAATTTGAAGACTCTGCCATACCGCCAGATTGGTTGCGGTCCGACCGACAGCTGCTCCGACGGGATTATCGAAATAGGCACTGCTCTGCCGAACACCGCACCGCAGTGACTGGCTTGCCGAATAACCCCGCTCCAGACTTGTGGAAGACTGAGGATCAGGTCAAGCTGCACCCCGCAGCCGAGCAGCTCCTCCGCAAGCTCCCCGAGAGTTATTTTGTTTTTCCCAAGAGCTGGAATAGGAAGCAGCGACGCACTTCGCTGAGCTTCACTGGTGCCTTGGACCTTTTTTCAGGCAGTCGAGGGCTCGCAAAATCCCTCGCCCGACACACTCAAAATTGGGCCCTCACTTATGATATTGCGCATGACCCACGGCAGGACCTGTTGGACCCATCTGTCCAAGCCGAGTTAGATGCTCTTGTTCAGCGGAAGTGTTTTCGCCTCCTGTCCGCAGGCCCGGTTTGTTCGAGCTTTTCCCGGGCTGTACGCCCGCCAGTCAGAAGCAGACAATTCCCACGAGGCCTAGAATGCCTGTCTAGTAACATGCAACGGAAGGTAGCAGAGGGAAATGCTTTTTCTAGTTGGCTTGCCGCTTTGATCAAAGCTGCATGTTCACAAGGCTGCATTTTTCTAGTTGAGAACCCTTGGATGTCTTTTCTTTGGGACCAGCCGGAATGGCAGGACATTGCTGATTCCCCTGGGAGCTCCTTTTTCGTGACCGATTTTTGTGTTTGGGGAACTCCCTGGCGCAAGAGGACGAAGTTTTTGACAAACACTTCTTTCCAACCATGCAAGTTGTTTTGCCGTTGCGGCAGTTCGCATGAGCACCTCAGACTGAGCGGCTATTCGAGAAAGCACCGGAAGCCCTGGACCAAGGTTGCTGAGGCATATCCTGCAAAATTATGCGGTGCCCTGGCCTTAGTCTTAGCAAACCAGCTGCTGCCTCCCTCGAGGCAAAGGAAACTGGACTTGGCCGCTTGTGCTCATGTTAACTCCCGAGTGGGGGAAGCCTCGAAGCCAGGGCCGAGGCCGCGACGTCCTCGGCCCGCTGTAGATCTGGAGGAAGTTCAGTTGGTCACTGCTCACACTTCGTTCATCCAGCAGAAAGCCCGAGCCCTTTTTGCGGCTTGGCTGGCTACTGAACTGAGTGAAGCAACTTGGCGAAATTTAGAAGATCTACCTGAGCTTTGTGTGATTTTCTTACGAGCTTTTGGACGGCATCTTTTTGCATCCTCACAGCCCTTGTACCTTTTTCGTCACCTAGTTGTTTATTTCCAACGGAACTATCCAGTTTTTCCTGCTCCCTTGTCCGAAGCATGGGACCTGATTGCAAGATGGGAAAGGATTCAACCGGTAGAGCACAGGACTCCGATGCCCAAACTCATTTTTGATGCTGTAGTTTCGCTTGCTTATCTTTGGGGTTGGTACCGGTTCGCTGCAGTGACGTTGTTAGCATTTCATGGCAAACTTCGCATAAGTGAGCCTCTTAAAGCCGCTCGTAAAGATTTGTTGTTGCCTGCTGAAACTGGTGTCGGCCTTGATGCAGCTTTCCTGAATATTGAGAAGTCGAAGACTAGCTTTCGTGGCAAGGGCATCGTCCAGCATACTAAGATTACTGACGGCAACGCGCTAGCTGCTGCTGATCGGATCTTGAAGACTCTCTCGCCAGAGGAGAGGTTATATGCTGGAACACCAAGCACTTACCGACGTCGATGGGATGCCTTGCTGCGATCTCTACAGATCGACAAGAGTTGGCAGTTGACACCAGGGACACTCCGATCCGGAGGGGCTATATACGCCTACCACTCAGGCGTCCCTGTCACGGAGATTCTTTGGTTGATGCGTTTGAAGAATCTGACAACTTTGGAAAGCTACTTGCAAAGTACTGCTGCTATGAACATAATGTTAAAGCTCCCTGATTCAGTTCGAGGCCGAATTCAAGTTTTAGCTCAGACGCTCCCTCACCTAGTGCGCCACTCTCCCAGCAGCGCTCAGGCACAACTCTACAGACGCGCAGTCTTGTAGCTTTGCTGCTGCTAAGTCTGAGGTTCGGGTAGCTGTGGAGGAGCCTTGCTTGCAGCTGCTCACGCCCTTCCTTCGTTTTGGG